TTGCATTTTTTCCTGTGTCAACTTGACTAGTCCTACAGTCTAGGTGTTGCTGGGATGGTGTGTTTATGTAAAGTCCATCATCGTTTGACTTTGGGCTATTATCCTAGCTAACTAAAGTGGTCCAGGGACTTAAGAGCAGTTCTGCACCTTCTGTGATGAGGAAGCTCGGCATTTTCAGTCCACACCCAGATTCCAGCCTCCTACCTCACAACCCACCATGCAGGTTTTGTTTGTTTATTCTGAAACAGTCTCATCCACTTCAGGCTGGACTCAAACTCTCTAAGTAGCTAAAGATGACTTTGAACTTTTTGGAGATTTACTATTGTACGTGTATGTGTAAATATGTGTGAGTGCCCGGTGCACACGGAGGCCAGAAGAGTGCATCAGATCTCTGGAACTGGCATTACAGACAGTTGCGTGTGCTGGGAACTGAACCTGGATCCTCTGCCAGAGCAGCAAGTGTTCTTAACCATTGAGCCTCTCTCCATCCCCTAAATAACATTTAAGGGATTTCACAAGCCCACAGGAAGCCTTGCTTCCCTCTTCAGGCATCTGTCTCACTGTCCTTTCTTCTTATGAGTCTTTGTCCAAAATTTCAGACAATTGCTTCCTTCCCATCAAGTTGCAATTCAAAATGCCATCACTGCAAGGAGGCTATTCCCAGCATGGGAAGGCAGCACAGCACAGCCATTCCCTGTGACATACTGCTACCTTTTCTCACTATGTATGTGAGCGCAATCTGAGTTCGTTATGTATTTCATCTTTTTACTGTATGTTTCTTTTTTTTTTAAAGGAATTTTTTTAAAGATTTTATTTATTATGTATACAACATTCTGCTTCCATGTATATCTGCACACCAGAAGAGGGCACCAGATCTCATAATGGATGGTTGTGAGCCACCATGTGGTTGCTGGGAATTGAACTCAGGACCTCTGGAAGAGCAGTCAGTGCCCTTAACCTCTGAGCCATCTCTCCAGCCCCACTGTATGTTTCTTAATGTATAGACCTTGCTTATCTTACCACTGCACCCCCAGTATCCAGAATAACTAACCAATGGTAGATAATAAATACTTGTTAATCTTTTCTAGGAGGGATTACATATAAAATCTACATATAACCAATAACCAATAAATAATTTATGAAACTATCTACCTATATCATCCGTCTACCTACCCACCCATCCATCTACCATCTACCTACCTACCTATCTATCCATCTATCTTCCTGCTATAGCTCTGGCTGGCCTCAAACTCAGATTACACTTGCCTCTGCCTCCCAAGTGCTGGGATTTAGGTGTCTGACACCATACCTGGAGAAATTACACCTTTTTTTTCTTTGCCTTTTTTGAGACAGGGTTTCTCTGTGTAGCTTTGGAGCCTGTCCTGGAACTTGCTCTGTAGACAGGCTGGAGAGATGGCTCAGCAGTTAAGAGCACATACTGTTCTTTCAGACTACCTGAGTTTGGTTCCCACACCCACACCAGACAACTAACAACTACTTGTGACTCCAGCTCTAGGAGACCGGATGCCCTCTTCTGGACTCTGCACTCACATGTACATAGTCACATGTATGTGCACACACATGCCTGTGCGCCCCCCACACAACACACCACACACACTACTACACACACACCACACAAACATACCACATACAAACACACACAAATAAACTACACACACACACACACACACACACACACACACACAATGAATGTTATGTGACAGTGATTATTTTGAAAACAAATATTTTAAAATAGAAAAAATAATTAGAGGAAAGATAAAAGCAACACTGCCAACGCCCAAAGAGGAAAACAAGCTATACTTCTAAATGTTAGTAAAAGTGGTGTTTGTGGCTCTGCTTTGGCTCTAATGTGTCTTTTTCTAATCTCCCTTCACAAAGATGAAACTGAGGATTTGGGATGAAATCTGCTCAAAGCTTACACACAGAATTCGGTAATCTTTTTCTGAGCATGTTTTTGTTAAGTATGGCTTTGAGACAATGCAGCTTTTAATTTTATACCTAAAGTGAAAAAACAGCAGCTTTATATGCTCTGGTTCAGTCCAGTCTACTTAAATGACAGAACAGTAGATGTGGTACTATACAAGAGAGAGACAATACGCTTAGACTTCATATTTCAAAATAAGAATGGCTGGGACAAAATAATATGTATGTATTGCTGAAAAATTTGAAAAACAAAGCAACTACTTAGGCAAATGTTATACAACTAAAACACTGGAGAATAAATCTAAAACATTACATTTTATGGCAGTGAGGGGCTGGTTCAGGATTTTTTTTTACATATATATTGTTAGAATTTTAATATCTCTGTGAATGGTTTTATTTATTTATTTTACCTTCAACTTTTAAAACATTTAAGGTATGTCTCTCAAACAATACAGTTAGATTTACTTTTTGTTTTTGTTTTGAGGCAGGGGTCTCACTCTGTACCTCATGCTGCCCTGGAATTTGTTACACAGTCTACATTGATCCTTCCAAGTACTCCAATTACAGGCCAGTGTTACTATACTGAACTTTAATTTTAATTTTTAGCATACAGTGGACAAACTTTATACTGAAAATATCTGTTCTATTTAGATTTACTATAATTACCAACAGCAAATTTAAATAGACTGCCATTGATCACATAGCAGACCTCACAAAACTCCATCTTCAGGACTTGAGCAGTTAATGGAGCAGCTATTGGAGTAGAAGTGGTGACCTCTCTGTTCTAGGACCTGCTGTCAGTTAGAGTGGGCCCTTGCTCTCGCCTTGCCTCTTTGTGAGGGTGGAACTCTATGCCCACAAACTTAAGGGCTGAATGGATGTTTGCAAGGTAATCCCAGCTCTAGAGTTCCCTCTGTGTGTGCACATGTACAAGGGCATGTGTGAAGGCCAAAAGATGACCTCAAGTTCTATTCATCAGGAGCCCAATGCTAACTTAAAAAAAAAAAAAACCCTATGAAAAATGATGTACTTTAGACTTAAAGAATTTGTAAAACAACTAGCAAATTATGCTGGAATTGCATTCTGTTTCTAGTTCCTACATATCAAAGGCAAATTAGGGTAAACAATAATGAGGCACTTTAATGGTATTTCATGGTGACAGAATACACACCAAGTGCCTCATATTTAATAAGATGTGAATAGAAGAGAAAACCTTCACATTACTTCACCAGATGATAGGACCAGGCTTCCCTGGAATGGGGCTGGCAGGGTGCATTTTCTCCTAGCCAAGTACAGTTACTGTCTCTTAGAGATGTGAATATACACTACTACATTAAAGATACTGAAATAAATATTCACTAATGCCAGTTGCTTATTTTTGTTAATAACTCTTTTTTTCCAAATATGTTTGACCAAAGAATACTTGATTCAGAGAGTATACATATTTGTGTGTGTGTGTGTGTGTGTGTGTGTGTGTGTGTGTGTGTGTATGTGTGTGTGTTGTATGTGTGTGGTGTGTGTGTGTTGTTATGTATGTGTGCATGCACATGTGTGCATGTGTGTGTTAATGCCTACACATGGAGACCACCAGTGATGTTAGATGTCTTCTTCTATCATTCCCTACCTTATTTGATGGCATGGATTGGCCAGGTTGGCCATCAAGTGCCTGAGTCTTCCTATCTCTGCCTCCCTGACTGAGATTGTGGGCGTGCATACCTGTGCTTGGCTTTTTATGTTGATGTCATGGATCCAAACTCAAGAACTTTACCCACTGAACCAAGTTCTAGCCTGATAATATTTACTTCACTATGATAACCTATTTTCATCTCTGTTCAACTATTGGCTCTATAAGAGCAATACACACTGTTCCTGTTGAGACAACTGTCCTGGGTAAAGTGACATCCAATCATACAACACCTTTAATGACTTATAACTACTGGAATCCTTATAAGCAGTCCTCCTCCTCCTCCTCCACTTTTGAGATAGTTTCTCATCATGTATCCCTGTCTTGCATTGAACTTACGGTCCTCCTGCCTCAGTCTCCATCATGGTCAGTAACTGTATGACAGGGCCAGCAAGATGGCTCAGGGGTAAAACTGCTTGGCAAATAACTCTGATGCTCTGAGTTCATTCCCAGAACACATGTGAAATGCTGGGTGGAGCAGCTCACACAGTCAGCACAGCATGGGGCAGAAACAAGGACACAGAGGAAGGAGCGAACTGAAAGTTGTCCTCTGACATTCAGGGCCTCATGCATGCACACATGCGAGTGCGCACACGCGTACACACACATGCATGTGCACACACATACATGTTCTTATGCTCACACACAAACACTCTAAACATTTTGCAATTTTATGAGATGTGTACTGTTTGAATGTCCTTGGTTTGAGCCAGAGTCCCATAAAAACAGAACAAAACCAAAAATAAACATATGGTTCTGAAGTGTTTTGATATATATTGAAAGGCATTTGTATACAATAAGGAGTTGACCTAGTCAGAACCTCAAGCATTTAAATAAGTGATAAATATATACCCTTTAGATAAAATTGTGTGTTTGATATGACTCCATGTATTCTAAGATGGGTGTGGTGGTACACGCTTTTAATCCCAGTACTTGAGAGGCAGAGGCAGGGGAATCTCTGAGTTCCAGGTCAATCTGGTCTACAGAACGAGTTCTAGGACAGCCTAGAACTGTCCTAGAAACCCTTTCTCAAAAACAAACAAAAAACAAGCAAAGAAAACTATTCTAGAAAGTCTATACATAACACACTTATACCCTAAACATTTAAAAAATCTGATATATAATAACCCAAATTTCAAATATATTGAAAACTAAGACAAACCCCCTTTTTGCAGTGAGATTGCTTCCACACTGATGCACAGACTTACCTGTACAATATATTTAGAATTATGAGTACTGAATTTATCAAACAGGAAGTTCAACACAAGTGTAACATCAAATTGCCTTTATTGTTAGTCAGTGCCTACATAATAACTATAGTCAATCAGTTATAGGAGGGTTTTCAAAACACTAAAGCATTTCAATTACTTACTATGATCTTCTTACAGTCCTTCCCTCTGCATAGCTCTGTGTACGTTGAATACTGCACGTATATGACCCAGCTTCCAACAAAAACCACCAACCAGGAAAAGAAAAGATACTTCACCCGCATGTAGGAGAGACGAGCCTGCAAGGCAAGGGCACATAACAGTCACTCATTCAGCAACGAGCCAGCACTCACTGCCCTGGAACAGGGTACTCTCCTTGCTTCGAGAGTCTAAGCTTCCATATGGCACTTCTAGGATAAAGTGCATTTTCAAGGAACCCAAACAACACAGGTTTTAGAGAAGTTCCCAGGTCTTGACAAGGAAAAAACCAAAATGCCCTTTAGGATGTACAGCCTTTCAATTACCAGCTCCAGAGCTACTTACTCAGTAGGGTGCAGTGCTTCTCCAAGACCAGGGAATGAGAGCTACAGCTTCCGTTAACACTGTTTCAGATGAGAATTTTAAAGGTCTTTATGAATAAACAGTAATAAGATATTTCGGCCAGCAGGTGTTGGCGCACACCTTTAATCCCAGCACTCAGAAAGCAGAGGCAGGAGGATCTCTGTGAATTCAAGGCCAGCCTGGTCTACAGATGAGTTGCAGAACAGACAGTGCTACACAGGAAAACTCTGTCTTGAAAAACAAAAACAACGACAACCAAAAGTATGGCTTAACTAAGTATGGTGGTGCACGCCTATAACTCCAGCACTTGGGAAGTGGAAGCAGGAGAACCAGAAAGTTCAAGGCCATCTTTAGTTACACTGAGTTATCAATCTAGACTATAGAAGATTCTTTCTCAAAAGAAGAAAAAATAAACAAACAAAAAAGGAAAATGAAAAGAAAAGCACAAGTTACTCCTCGAATGTCAATTAGGAAAGCCACACAATAGGCTCCTCTTTGCATCATTTTGTGCCCGCTGCTCTGATACGATCACAGCTATTGGTGCCTTTTAACACCAGTCGCAGAGCAAGCTGCTAATCTTCAAATGTGGCAGTTGGTCAACATAGCCTGATATTTACTTTTCAGATCGAGAGTTCCAGCAGTTTGATTTAATAAACAGTAGAACTGAGCAGAATAAATTAAAGATGCACACGTACAATGAAAACCTAGTTTTGCTTTTACAATCCTGAGTGAGTTTCTCACAGTGGAAAACAGTAGAATACTGTGGGCACTATGGGCAGGAAAAGAAAGCAGAGAGAGATGAAAGAGCCAAGGTGCACCTGCAGAAGACAATGAGTTCAATGGGAAACACCAAACTCTGTCACAGATCTGTCCCTGGGAGTCTTCGCAGATGGTGAAAACCCCAGTACCAAAAGCTTGAGTACAAGAAATTCAGCTAGATGGTAGGCTTTGGGTTTTATTATTAAATGTAAAAGAGCTTTTTGTTTGTTTGATTTTGTTTTCTTCAAGAAAGGATTTCTCTGTGTAGTCCTGGCTGTCCTGGACTCTGTAGATCAGGCTGGCCTTAAATTCACAAAGATCAGCCTGTGTCTGCCTCCCAAGTGTAAAAGAGCTCTTAATGCATAATATTTTTACGTAGCACCAGATAGACACATAGAAAAAGAAGCTAAATCACATGCAACACAATGGAACCAAGAGGTCTGCCCATTAAAGCATTTGAGATTACTTGGCCCTGACAGGAAGTCTGGTCACCAGCTATAAATTGGCATGTACTGGCATTATTAGATTCCACTAAGATTAAAGACACATGCCTGCAAAGCTCGAGCATGCTGCTATGCACAGAGTAAATACTAAAAAAGCATGAGCTAAAATCTATATCAAGTCACTGTGTGAGAGACCACTGGCTACAGCCTTCTCCCTGACCTGCCTAAAAGAAGACAAGATCTGGATCTGATAGAGCCTCTATCTGCAACCCAGTCCACCGGAAATGGTGGAGACAGAGGTAGAACTTGAAGCAAGTGGCAGTTTTGGCAAAGTCCCAGGCTGTGGGGGATATTGCAATACAAAGAAGTCACTTCTTCAACAATTAAATCACAAGGGTAAAACAAAGAGACACTTACAGGCTGGAAAACATCTAAGAAATACAGCAAATGATTACAGCATAGAAATCCTTTTAGAGTTCTGACTCAAAAATGTAAAACAAACAAATAAAGAAAAAAACAAAACACCAAAAAACAAAGACCTGAACGAGGGCACTAACAAACATGCTAACACGTAACGGAGACACTCACAGGGCCACAACCTGGAGGAATGCTGAGTGGGATAGTCTTCCCCCCAGGAAAATCACATCGATTGGTTATCCACAACACCACATGGTAAACCCTGAAATCATATTCATACACATAACATTATACAGACTGAGGAGGTTGTATTTGTATGTTTGGGAATATATTATATATATGTGTATAACTAAAGAGAAATATGCCATGAATTTGAGGGGGTATACAATGGGAAGAGGAAATTTTAATTTCAAAAAAATATTAAGAAAACTAAATTTGAAGGCCGGGACTGATGGAACACAATTTAATCTCAGCACATGGGAGGCAGAGGCAGTCTGATCTTTGTGTTCAAGGCCAGCCTGTCTCAAAACAAAACAAAACGAAAATGGTATTTGTGTGACAAGCCAAAGTTTTTCCTTTTTCTACATTTTTCCCCATTAAGAGTGAGTATGTATGTGTGCACGTGCATGCGTGCATTTGAGTGCCACAGAGCGTGGGTGGTGGTCAGAGGGTAACTTGTGGGTATTGATTCTCTACAACCACCATGTGGGTTCCAGGGCCTGAATTCAGGCCTTCAGTTTGGCAGCAGGCACCTACCTGTACTAGCCAAGCCATTCTGTCAGCATGAGCTCTCTCTCTCTCTCTCTCTCTCTCTCTCTCTCTCTGTGTGTGTGTCTCTTTCTCTCCATCTCTCCCTCTCCCTCATTCTAATTTTTTCAGTGATGGGGGCCAGACCCAGGGTTCTGTAGCAAGCATTATACCACTAAACTAACCTCCAAACCCCCACAAAGTACCACTGAAGAATGACAGAGTACTCAATGATGTGAAAAGAAGGTTCCGGGGTAACAGTATTTTGCTCCTCTCTCTTCATGAGCTATATTTTCCCATGCCCCCGGCATATGTTCGAGCTGAAGAACACCCTGAGAGAGGAGGTATTCCACCAATGCTTACCACATACAGAAAGCCACGAATGTTTTAGAGGAAGTCAGATTAATGATGCCCCAGCAGGGTGCTGGGCATCACCTGTTGTAGAGATCATGACTAAAGAAGCAAAACACATTTTTATCCAGCATGCTACAGAAAACTGCTGTATCTTATGTATAAAAAAATAATGCAATGACCTTTATGTATCCCTCAATATCTAAAGACAAGCAGCCTTACATTTTAAAATGATGAAGAAAGAAATAGCTATAAATTACATCTCTATTTCACTTTCCCCCATGTGGCATTTGCTAAAATGTCTCTAGTGTTCTGTTTTATAACAATTACCTAGACAATCTAGCCTTTGATTAAGAAATATAGTCTGAAATTTTTGTTTATGCTTAGCTGTTTAAAATTACATCCTAGCAGGTTTTTTATAGTGCTGATTTTGTGCTTAGCTCCTAATGGAACATCACTTTATTCCAAATTATGTTCCTGTAAAGAAAAACACACAGGACAGTGATTCCCAACTGTGTCAATATGCCCCCACTACCCCCAGCAAGGCACTTGGTAACATCTGGAGACATTTTCAGTCTTACTGTGGTTTGTTTTGCTTCTGGTCTCTCATGGGAAGTGTCCAGAGATGCAGCTATACATGCCATGATGGATACTATAATCCCTCCCTGCAGCGCCCTGGAAGAAAATGGCCCCCATAGAGAGTGGTACTGTCTATTAGGAGGTGTGGCTTTGGTGGAGTAGGTATACCTTGTTGCAGGAAGTGTGTCACTGTGGGAGTGGGCTTTGAAGTCTCCTTTGCTCAAGCTATTCTCAGTTTTGACAGAGTTGCTTCTGCTACCTGCAGATCAAGATGCAGAACTCTTTCTGCAGCACTGTGTCTGCCTGCAGGCCACCATGCTTCTTGCCTTTATGATAATGGACTGAACCTCTGAAACTGTAAGCCAGCCCCAATTAAATGTTTTCCTTTGTAAGAGTAGCTGTGGTCATGGTGTCTCTTCACAGCTACAGAAACCCTAACTAAGACACTCCCCCAAGCATCACCTATCCAAGATGTCAAATTTGTATGACGCTATCACTTTATTTTTGATTAGCCTTTAATGAATAAATTATTACTAATTTAAAGGTATGTGACTTATGTCTGAAAATGACAGGCCAACTGGGAAAGAACCATCACCAATTATCTTTTATTGTAAATAAAAGTCACTGGAGATGAAAATATGCACATGATAAGCAACCTTCCTCTGCCAATCCCACACTAAAGAATAATGGTATGGTTGGGTACACCGGGGAGGTAAAGGTAGGGAGATCAGAAGTTCAAGGTAAAACTCAGCTAGCTATATAGTATGTTTGGGGCCAGCCTGGGTGACATGAGATTCTGTCTCAAAAACAAAGGCAAGGGGCTAGAGATATGGCTCAGAGATTAAGAAAACTGGCTGCTCTCCAGATGACCCAAGTTCAAGTCCCAGCACCTGCATGGTGGGAAACAACCATCTGTGACTTTGGTTGTCTGGGTTCCAACACCCTTTTCTGACCTTCTGCTATACAGATGTGTGTGGATAAAACATTCCACACGCACCCCAAATAAACACAAGGCAAGCCAGAAAAATCCCACAAACCCCCAGAGTGACTAAAACAATAGCAATTTGCTTCTTTTTTAAACTATTGCTGACACCACTGTGATAACATCTTGAAACAAGTCTGGAGACTTTTTTTTTTTTTTGAGCCCATCCTGGAACTTGCTCTATAGACTAGGCTGGCTTCAAACTCACAGAGATCCGACGGCCTCTGCCTCCTGAGTACTGGGACTAAAGGCATGCACCACCAAAGCCGGGCTTACTCTTGTTTTTGAGACAGGGTCTACATAGTTACCTGTCCTAGAACTGAATATATATACAGACATGGCAGGCCTCAAACTCAAGAGAGCTGCCTGCCATTGCCTCCAAAGCAGTAGGATTAAAGGATTTCTTACATGAGAGTGGATTTTCCTGAAACAAATGTTCTGAGATGTCCGGGTGGAGGCT